CTTATAACTATAAGTACTGTTCTGTATATAAAATAATACATTATAATAGTAGTATAGTAGTAATACATAAGAATTAAAAAATATGTTTGTACAACATATGTTTGGCGCGCTCTGTAGCCTAAATGGCTTAATGGATTTTGGCGTTTGAGGTGTCGTTAGATGAGTGAATGATATCTATAAGGTATAGGAAAATTTGAAAAATTCAAATCGCCGGTTTGTAAATTTTAAGTAGGAACACATTTTCATGCAGTCGGGAATTTTGTTTTTTTTTTCAATAATAAGATTGTTTTTTTGATAAATTTATGCGTGAGAATCGAAAAAAAAAACATAAATCTTGACGATGTATAGTAATTACTTTAGGGTTTCTCGTTTTATGTATGATCAGTAAAATGTAAATCACATCATCACATCAACAGCCTTTAATAGTCCGCTGCTGGACATAGGCCTCTCCTTAGAAAGGAGGTTTTGGCCTTTTAAAATGTAAATATGTGTATGTAATGCTACATTAAGCTGTACATAAGTATCTACATAAACATCAACTGAATTACAAATAATAACCATGTCCTATGTTCATAAATTAGCATAATAACACATCACAACAATCATTGACTTGACTTGAAAACTATAAGTACTCAACGAAACTGGTTTGTAAATTAAAAGGTAATAAAAATTATACGAATTACACATTTTTCGATTAAAATACAACGATGGCTATAGACGATAAACAACTAAACAACGAAATAACAGAGGAACCCATTTAAATTTGTACTCGAGCACCGACTCATTTACATGTTATTCGGGCAACAAACCCTAGGGGACCGTATCAGCCATTTATGAGTTAAAAAGTATTAAAGAAAAGAAAACTCAATAGATATAAAAAGATACGTATAATAACAAGAGAAAGAAGCCGCGTGCAAGGAAACTGCTCGCGGCGAATAAGCCTCGCGGAAATCGGTATTGTACCGCGACTTTTTAAAACGGAACAAAATGAACGGAGGGGAAGGAAATCGGATGAAAATATGAAAAGAATACACGTTATATACGTAAAAGTGAAACGAAATGTCGGAGATCGAGTCTCAGCCGCGGTGGTCCGCAAATATAATTTGCATAGTCAAGTAGCCCAACTTTTGTCTGCAACGGATGTTCGCAACCATATTCGTTCGTTGCTTTTTAACCACACTCTCATTCTGTAGCGGGCTAGGCTTTTTATTGCATTTTTTCCCCTTTGAACGGATTCCTTCAATATTTTGGTGGTTCGTTTTTATTCATACGCTCGGTCATCGAATTGTTGCGCTTTGTATCACAACATTGTTACGTTCTCTTATTCCCTAGATCAGCCATTATGCCGAATTTGAAAAAATATTTAACAAATCGCCTCAATACCTTACAGTACTCGGTTATGGTTTAAAAGAATTAGTTACATCTATTATTCTGTACAAAACCATATTATAGAACAAAGTTGTCAAACTTTTGTCGATGATATGATTTTAATTCAAATTGTAACAAAAGAACTATTAACATAATAATATCATCGGGAGGTACATTACATTTGAGATTGGTACTCTCATAGACTACAAAGGATTAAAACTTTTTGTTCATTCAATATTAAATGAAATAATCGATCGACGAATTATTACTATTCATCGTTGTGGAGAGGAAGCAATAGGCCGGATTATGGAGCACAAAGCGCCGCCGACGCCATAGACAAATATTGACTTATAGAAACAATGAAGGCAGACATAGCTGCTGCCGCCGCTTGATAGCACGTAGGAAGAAATTGATTGACGTTTTGGTTTCGATTATTCATTGTCCTTATGATGATTAAAATATAAAATAGTCTTGTTTAAATATAGCTTCAATAAAGTAAGAAAAGACTTCACTGTCAGCTAATTATTAAAATATTTACGCGTTAATAGACAGGAAAGCGAGATGAAAAGATCCTAAAATAAGCTTCAGTGGACTGCAAACCTGTTTTTCAGAGGTGTTAAAGAGAATCGATATTTGAACTCGATGGTCCGTCGAATTTTCCACTGAACGGGTCCTTGGACGCGGACCTTTGTATTGAAGAGAAATTAACGAAAAAGGACCATCCCATCCTAATTTTGTTAACAAAGTAATTATGTACGGTGTGTAAATAATATATACATAATGATAGCATCGTCAATGGTGTGTAGGTTAATAAAGTTACTATACAAACTTCATGTAGAAAGTGTAAAGAATATAAAAAAAGAAGTAGGTAGTCAATGTATGAAAAGTAAATAAGACTCATAATGCAATTCTATTGCAAAAAATACAAATGGAATTAAAAAGTAGACTTTCCAATCCATACGTTATTAGCGTCTGGTGTCGAAGGTCGTACGATGACAAATGATGCGTAGGAGTCAATCGCTAGTGAACCTCGCCCGTTTCATTAGCAGGAACATTAATTACTAGCAAATCTTTAATGAGAAAACGAGCATTCATTTTATTTCTCAACCAGTTTTCTTATTTTAGGTATATTGGTTTCATTGTTTATCGTTTTTATGAAAACTTATCCTAATCTATTAATTGTATTAACTGACATTAATATTATAAGAAAATTAATTTATTTATGGTTGTTTCCTTTTGAACTCATATTTTATTATTGGTCATTATAATTATCTTCATTAAACTAATATATCACTAAGAAAAATTTGAACTTATTATTATTTGTTACAAATCACAAGAGTACATCATCTACCTACCTTTATCCCAATTTTTTTTGGGATCGGTGCAGTAAGCATGATTCTTTCATTCTACTCTATCATTCGTCATCTCACTGTTTACTCCCTTCCTAGCCATATCCTCACTCACACAGTCCATCCACCTTTTTTTGGTCTTCCTCTTCTCTCCTACCCTTCAACTCACATACCTAAAACTTTCTTCGCCACATTTTCCTCATCCCTCCGCATGACATGTCTATACCAAGATAACCTATTACTTCTTAACTTTTCATCAAGTGTCGCTACTTTCAGACTCCCTCGTATATACTCATTTCTAACCTTGTCCATCCGAGTCACACCACACATCCATCTCAGCATTCGCATTTCGGCTACGTTCAGGCGTCTCTCATCCGTTCTCTTAATGATCCAACTTTTAGAACCATACGGGACGGCAGGTCTGATAATAGTTTTATAAATTTGTCCCTTCAGTGTTAATAGGAAACTGGGGTCACAAATTGTTCCCGTTACGTGCCACCACTTCATCCATCCCGTATTGATTCGATGCTGTACAGTTCGATCAATCTCACCATCACATTGTAAGAGGGAACCGAGGTACTTGAAATTGAGCAGACTGTTATCGCTGTTATCGGATTATCTCTTCATAAAACAACATATTAACGAATAAAGTCAGCCACTCATATCCATTTTCTTTCAGTAACTTCCAAACTTCCACTGGTATATCATAAGAGTAGGCTATTGACCAAAGGAATTTCGATATTTTTAATACGTCTTTCAATAACTAATTTATCAATTCATAAATTATTCTGAAAATTCACGAAAAAAAATATTGCCAATTCAACGTAATATCAGTCCGAAAGAATAATACCTATGTAATTACATATTTTTGTTAGCTTTTTAAACAATACGTATCATACATTAATATTATGAATTATATCATCTAATTCAACAATCTGTAACATTGCATTATTGACACCATATTCAACAAGGTATGTTATGTTCCATAATAGATTAATGAGAAAAAATTGCAGATGCTTTTCCATCATTAATGTAATTGTAAACAGACTTATAGTTTTCTCGCAGGCGGTTAGTTGGCGGTATAACATGTCTTATGACACCTTTACCTAAATACTTCTAATGTGTTACTTTGTATTCACGAACCTTCCTAATGTGATTTTTTTATTTAATTTCAGTCTTAAATAAGTATTTCACCTTCCTACTACAGTTTACTATTATTATTATTTAATCTTTTCAAACATAATTCCAACGTTCAAGGTATTCAAATGAGTGCCCTAAAGTTTCACGGAACACTTTAACATGCCATCAGCAAAAGACTGTGTCTCATTTTTATTAGTTTATTATTCATACTGTTTTCATCAAACTGAATTATTCGCATCTTGGTCGCGGCTCGACTCCATCAAAACTCTGTCGTTTGCCATCTCGATACAGTTGCCGAGTTACCTCCTTGTGGCGCAAGTAATAAGTTTTAGAGACGAAAATTTATTTGCGATAGTTGACAAATAGTTTCAATAGATAGATAAATCTGTATTAAAAAATAGATCCCTTACTATTATATACACTTCTTAACGTACAATTGTGTAAATGTTACATTATACTTATATGCACAAGTATGAGAACCAACTATCGAATATGTAGTGTGAATTTTAATTTAATAAAATTAGGGTATAATCTGATAACTTTTATCGTTTGTCCCTTTTCCCACACCGCCTTCCTGTCCTCTCGGAGGCCCTGCCTCCAGCTTCTATCAACACGTGCACCGACTCAATCATTCGTCAATCAAACTTCAGAGCGAAGAAGACATAAATATTGCAAACCCGTACGAAAGAAAGAGAAATCTTATCAATGCGTGGTCGATCTTGAGATTATTGACCGAGCAATGGCCAAACGCGAGGTGGTTATTGCCGCTATAGTAAGAAATCCTTTAAGATTTCTCATATAGAAACAGTTTATGATTGAAGAGTAAAAGAGACAGATGTAACACGACTTTCAGGTTTCACTTATAGTTATGTAGATAAAGGTGAAGAGAAGTATGGCGCACGATGTATACGCAAAACCGTTTATTTAGTTGCAGTTTTGTTTTATCTTGCGTGCGGTACATCTAAGTAATTATTGTTTCGATACGGTACAATTCGCTGCATAGTAAAATCTACATTAATATTAATGTTTTTTTAATCCATATAAATGTTTTATGCAACTGATTGTGAAATGCGGGAAAACATTTTTAAATTAAGATGTAGGTACGTATGTCCTAATGTCTAATATTTGTTTTATTTTTCACAGTAAAATATCACAAACTGCTAAAAAAAGAGAAAAAGCAGCGTATGATGATTCAAGAACATCTTGAAATAGAGCTGAAGAGAAGACATAAGATTGAAGAGGCTCTAAAACAGTCTGGCGCTCCTTCCGAGATACTCAGAATAGTAACAGGTAGGTTCAAATGAAATTGTTTATTAACTATCTACATCTAATCGTAATCCATAATACTACATGATCTTTGACTAACCTCTAAACATGTCAAATTTAAATCAATGTCATCTCTATCAATAAGTTTTAACATATGTTAGTGGCCCTGACATGTTAACTTGCCGTCTGTCAAACTATCAGTATATTAGCAAAGATTTAATATACCTTAATCCAACACAGTTGTTGTGGAAGAATGAACGTTACAAAGTCGTGATAGAATTGATTCTAGATTAGCGATAGAAGTGATTTGTGACGGATTGGCGTTGAATGCGTATGGAGTGCGTGACGTAAGAAGGGTGGGTGAACACTGGTGATGGCTTGTACTAATCTCCGTGTCAGGAAATCGTTTCGCAGACCATTTGAAAGGAGGGTTCAGAAATAACACGCTTTCGCGTTGATTTTGTTGTATAATCGCTATTTGCTATGTTATTAATTATTCAGTTCATTTAATCGTAACTGTAGTCAGTTAACTTTTAAGGGTCAGTGTTGATAATATTGCCTAATATATGCTTTTCCTTTACAGAGAATCTGACATCATCTAATCAAGAAACTCCTCGTTCTGAACGTGAGAACGGGTCAGAAAGAGAAAGCAAACCTCCCAGTGCTGAACCTCCAGCAGCCTCACCACCTTTCCAGAGGGATCCTCCTCGTACGCCTGACAAACCTCAGTGGAACTATCCCCCGCCGCCTGTAGACATCATGGGTGGAGGTGCTGCGTTTTGGCAGAATTACTCTGGTAAGTTTTCAGATATTCACAAACGAAATGTACCAAAGTAGCCAACTCAAAATTATTTTCCATAATAATGAAAAACACGTAACTTATAAACCAGAAAGTTAGAGAAACCACAAAAGATTTAATACCAATTTATCCAAAAAAAAAAAATTGTAGACGACGTTTATACTGTCTACAGTACTAATGTAATGTTCTAAAATCCTAACATATCAATACAAGTAATAAATCCATTTTAACGGAAAAGGGCCCAACAAAAATTAAAAAAAGAAAATTGAAACGAAATGTTAAGCTCATCATATTGCATAACTTGTGAATCGGGAATGTCAAGTATTTAAAAGCAAAACGATATGTGCTCTCTGGGTTGGTATTGTAATTTTAGGGGATGATTTTACAAACGTACTTATTCTGCAACGGTAAATATGATTTCATTCGTTGATTTTTTCCAAATAAAACAAATTGATAGCAAAATAATTTTCAAATAAATAGAAATACTATAAATAACATGATCTAATAAAAGTATTTGTATGTTAAAACACACAAAGTACATTCAGTAAAGCCATTTAAATATATTAATGTTAATGTTGACAGCAAAAGTTATTTTATGTCAATGGAAGATAAGTGTGTTTTTCTCCACCAAAATATAAATATTCCAACTATATGGATCACGAAAAATCCGGCAACGATCTAACTTTGATGGAGCAAGAAATAAAAATGTGAAGCTCGTATCGGTGAATCAAACCATGACTCTTTTTTCATTTATATCCGCTTTGTGGATAGCCCAAAAATTTCATTAAAAATGCACCGGCCTACTGCAACATACCTAAAGTAGTGAGGCCAGATTGCGCCCTTGCTCGCAACTTGACGTATAAAAAATATGCTGTCCTGTACAATAACATTGGCAATCTTGTTAAGTTCTGCTGGTGAATATTTGTTGTGACAGGTTGTTTTGTAGCTGAAAATATTCACAAAGCATTTGAATATTTGAAAATCAAATTTTAATTTATGACTCAATATCGATGATCAGATTAGATCTTATATTCTATTTCAATTCGAATAATAGTCGATATTAAATAACCTTTTTCTAAAATCCCCTGTGATTGGAATTAGCTTGTAGGGGAAGTGAGTGCTTAGTATTCGCAAAACATTGATACGGATTTAACCATTTCCCTTGTATCGTCGAGTGCCTTTTGCCGACAGACTGTTCAAGTAGAAATTGCAACTAATTTAAGTGTTACGTTACCCCAAGTGTCTTGACGCACGCGAACACGCAATGCCAATTGTTTGAATTGGAAAGGTTTCTTAACCGACTTCAAAAACACAGTTTATAAATAGTTATAATTTTAGTGAAAGTCGTTTTAGTAGAGTTTTGTGAATGCTAAGGTATCTAAATAATGATTTAACGTTTGAAATCAAATATGGTAGTCAATGTACCAGTGATCAATATCAAACACTCCTTCAAAAATGTCATTGTTTCAGACTAAATTAACAAAAACAATATAAATGATAGTTTCCTAACATACGAAAAAAAGCTTTACGTCAAAGCGTTGGTTGTACTTTGCTTTTTTAATAATTTTAAATGAGACAACCATTTCACATGTAAGTATCTATTGTAGTAAGTATTCAGGGAATTGATATTTCTATATATTTATTCTTACGAAGTGTTTATCTATTACAACCACTAAAAACTGTAATGACAAATAAATCGATTGAAGAAATTAAAGTACTTAATATATTTTCAAAACATAACATAAAATATACAATCAATTTCTATGGGTTTCTTTCTCATTTCAATGGTATTAACTAGCACTTAGATAACTAATATTTACTATAGTTTTTTAATGGCACATTCTATTTCGATAGAGTTTAATTTTCTTTCACATTGTTTAATTCTGTAATTAATGTACACAAAACTATTTTATTTACTAAATTTTTGTAAAAAAAAATAATTATTCATTGTAGTTTGTTCCATTTGAAACGTGTTTGGTTTTAAGGCTTTTTTAAGACTTTCATCATTAAGATTCATCCGTAAGTAATTTGAAGAAGTATCCAGAGACTTCTTCAAATTTTTAAGTTAATTGAAAGTCTCGAAGTTGGTGCAAACTACTTGATTTTTTTTTATAACATAGATAAAAACGTAACAAAACGAGAATTTTACATTTTATGCATTTAGTACATTTAATGTAATAAAAAATGTTTAATATAATAAGAGTATAATGTGAATGAAAAACCTTAACCTTAATAAACATATTTTTATTAATTTTTAAGCATATATTTCAAAATGGTAAAAAAATGCTATAAAGCTGAAACACAAAAATACACGAGGGCTGTAAATATAAAAAGGTTGGTAACAGAAAAACAATAATTAAAACTTGGAGCCTTTCATCAACTTTCCTTAGTGCCTACGGTAAAAGAAAAAAACATATTTTATTATTCGTAAATTAGAAAACTTTTTCTAGGTGCTTTTTACACAAAACGGGATGAGTCAAAAGTGTTACGAGTAAATTACTTGAGCAGAAATGAAAAGGGAAATATGAAAATGTACAAAAGTGACAAGAGACCTTACCTAGACACGTGTACAGGTGATCAATCAATATTATGTTTCCATTATAGAAGTCATTATACTGGTTGATACAAAGCTATAGAGGACACTCATAAATTCTCATTAGATACACACACAGTCAATGCTAATACGTTAGCTAAAAACAATTTTATTTTTAATAATGATGATGTAATAACGCAAGTGCAGAATATTTTTAATAATACAATGTTTATGCCGTTACGCGGGCTGTGCTTGTGAAACGGATAAACCAACTGATGTTACATAAGTAATATAAAGTTGAAAAATTAATAAAGAGGAAACTTCTTCATGTTACTTTTTAGGTAAGCTTGTAAAATGAATGGAAATAAAATTGTACCGCACAGGTGCGCCCAAAACCTTTGACGATATTAACTTTTTTCTTTATTCTTAGTAATCACCCGCATCATTGTGCTCGACTTCTTATACAGACGAGTTGTTGTAAATTTTATCATAACATTTACCAAGCAATACCGTACTAAGGCGCACTTACAATATTACACCGACAATGATAGAGATTTAAGTCGAACTCGATTCAAGTCACGATGGATTTGATTCTGTCGGTAAAAAACTCAAAAGAATGTCTTTAATAGAAAATCAATCCAATCAGTATAATTCGTCATGCACCAATAGAGTCAGCAACAGTAGCACTTCATCCCGACTGTGGCCGCTCGTTCGCGTTCTATTATAACCAGTCGAGGTTCGTTGTTGTTCAGGTATAGTTCCCTTCACAATCATCCGTTTAAACCGACCCTTTGTTCACAACCTTCTCAAATTCCCAACGAAGAATTAATCAACTCACTTTTTTCTCTATATTTTTACAGCAGTAATTAATTTCGTTTTAACGATGGACGAAGGTGTCGATTGCGTTAAAAATTGTTAAAAATAATGAGTACTTTCTATTATTTGTACAAAGATATTGAATGACAACACTGATAATTAAAAAAGTAAATATTTAAGTTGTTATGAAGGATCGGTTTAAGACTCAATTATTAAAAACGTCATTTCTATTTACATTTAAAATTTAAGCACATACACTAACATTAATTCAGTCACTGTCTTTTTCTTAACAGTTATTTTGCAATTCATTTTTTTCGTATCGAGGTAATTTTGTGGGTAGTATTTTCTGAATAGTATTTCTATGGCAATAAAGTGGAAAGAGAACATATATAATGTGGATAGCAATTGATGTATAAGACTATAACTTATTTTTCAATCTCTTTTAAGCTGACGGAAAACTTAAAGGGTTTTTTTTTGGATACACAATTTTTTTGAGAATTTTCCCGAAACATTACAATCTTTAATTCTTAACTTAAATAAATAACTTGACTTTTAGAGAATATCTTGTTATACCTATCACTGAAAGTGTATGCTTCTAACTTATCTATAACGAAGCTACGGGCTCTAAAACGTCTCGATACTGTTGTTTTAGCGGAGGTAGTACGGTGCAACCAAAAAACAATACTTTAATAAAATAAAAATATATCATTAGACTCGTACGTATACTACAGTGAAACTGTGCTATACGAAGTTTATTACTATACTTACGTTTGCTGTAACAAAAAACTGTTTATACTCACTATCGATTTGTGTCCACTTTTTTTTTTATTTCTATTACTTTTCAAATAAATCGGTTCACGTCCTCCTTGTGAAGTCCCTTTTTGTCATTCCATGATCATTCGATCAAAACGAAATAAGAAGTGTTACTTTTACTAGTTTTTGTGTATCTAACATCTCTCTGTGAAAGTTAATGTCATTGTTGATTGCAGCTACTAAATCTAACGTTCCTATATTTTAAAAGAAAAACAAACATTAAAGGATAACTTTTATTAAGCTAAGCGCTCAACCATTACAGTTGTTTCAAAGAACAAATAGATTATAGCTCTCAAAGGAACCGGCAATTCTGTTTTAGAAGCGGCAAATGCAAAAATATTACGTATTCAAACAGACCTAATGGGACATTTAGGGGTGGCAGCGAAGTGAAACGGCAAAGGCCGAAGCTTTTAAGTGTATAATATTTAATTGTGACGCCCTAGGCGTATAATCTCGCCGGAGATAATAGGTTTCTGTTTCGAGACAACCCTCGATGGTGACACTTATGAGTGTGATGCCCGCCGGCTAGACAACACTGAAACAAATCGGATCATAATTGGGTTTTTTAACTAACAACTGCTTCGTACACAACAGTGTCTTTTATTTTAATTTCACACACTTGAATGCGAGTTTAAATTTTTACAAGTCTGATATTTTTGGAGTAAAAAAATTGGTGTAAGTTATAAATTCGGAACTCACGGCATAAATTGTAAACGAATGTCGGGAAGAGAAATTGAATTCCCCGTTGAGAAAATGCTCCATCAAAGTAAGCAAAAAACGCGATTCCGTTTATATCTTTTATATCTCGTAAATTGCAGGAGGCGGCAAGCGTTGCATGAAATTGAATAAGCATATTTCGCAAAACGTCGACGTTTTCGGAGACAATTGCCTTACCTCACCTACTCTTTGCCTCTTCACGAACTTTGTCAATTTTCCTGGAATCTTATTAGAGGATGTCCTGTGCTTGAGACGCGTCTCATTTTTTAAGGTTTAATTTGTTGCAATTTTCGCTTAAATATTACGCCTATCCGTTCTAGAAATGCCGTCGCTGAATAGACACGCATTGCCAAAGACAGGATGAAATAGAAAGCTTTAGAAGAGGTCTATGTCTATGTGTAAGGATAAACTGTGAACGAAAACTGGTTGCCGAATAATTAGTTCAAAGTAATGCTTAATCAGAATTCCGGTTTAGTTATATGCACCTATAGGTTACGATGTTAAACTATTCAATTATTCTACAGCAATATTATTTTACTTTTTTTTATTTATTGTTACGCCAGAAGACGTTGTTTTTTTTGTTGCATCTACATTCAAATAAGCCTAGGTGTTATTTAAACACACACATCTAAAAATCTATTTTCCTGAATGTAAAAAGACACTAACTATAAATTTAACAGTTGAAATTAATATTATAGGTATGTTGACTTCGTCATAAATGTATATTACAGTCATCAGAACTTTCACTGAATAACCCTTATACGAGCAATTTAATAACATTCGCTCGACGTGAGTGCTACGTTTTTAACAAAGGCAATATCGAAAATTAAATTAGAATGTGCCATACAGATGTGGAGTCCGTTTGATGTCAGTCGGCTTTTTCCGAAACACTAATGACATTTTACGGAGCGAAATGACACGAGTACTTACGCTACAGACGTATTTAAATGAAATTTTATTATCTATTAACAATTTCAAATCTTTACAAAATATTATTCTTGTCTATATATTATAAGATCGCGAACATGGATAATATTTACTCTATAATTTAATCTGATCTTACAATTTTAATTCAATATTTGTTATCTTTTTAATCAGAATCCTTGGCGCAAGAGTTGGAGATGGAGCGCAAGTCCCGCCAGCAGGCCATGGAGCGTGATGTGAAAAGCCCTCTGTCAGACCGAGCTAGCTACTACAAGAACTCGGTGTTGTTTAGTTCGGCTACTTAGCTGTCGAATACCGGGGCCAACGACTTCCCCGACAATCAAGAATATGAGAAAGAAATCGACGAATCGAGAAAACCAATGATTAGCGTCAAACCTGAGTTTAGGGAGAAATAAAATGCAAAGATTCGATTGGTGAATTGACTTATCAGTGGCGTCGAAGTTTCGGTCGATTACAAAACTTTCCGCAGGAACTCAAAGAAAAATACTTAAATAAAAATATTTAAAAACCATCAAGCTGTTTATCTGGTTGTTTATTACACTGAAGTTTTTGGCATAAACGATCTCAATGAAGTTGTACTTCGCGCTATTGAGATTATTCTGTAAATATTGTTATTGAATTCGAAGTAAGATTGTAGATTTCGTGGTGTTACGACGAAGTCTCATAAACTCTTCTTGCATAGAAAAATTTGTAAATATCCCTTTATAATTATTAGCGTTAAGGCAGTACGGTTTTATTCGTCAATATTTTAATCTTTTATAAAGAGTACCTTTAACTTATCGTTAAATGCCATATTTATGTATTAAGTATCTATCGTTATGTACCGCGTCAAATCTTGGTTTACTTTCGACGTAATCTGTACCTGCATACATATCATGACCTTCAACTTCACATTTAAATGTTTATTCATTGATTGAGAGAAAAGTTGGAATTGATCTAAGACTGGTTTTCGAGATTTTTTCAAAAAAATATTTTGTTTAGTCCCAAAAATTCTTTAAACGGTAGATGTTTAAGTTCCTACGATATTTTTTTTAATACGTCAGAATATCGTCATAGTCAAACTGTTAAGAAGTAGGTACACGTTTATTTTATCCATTAAATTATTTTCACATTCAATAGAAAATAAACGTGATCTTCACTATCGCGTAATTTATTCAATTTTAGTGCAATGATTAGATTTAACTGATACTAGTGTATTTCATAAATCATAAAAGTGTACGATAGATACGTTAAGTTAGTGGTTTAAAAAGGAAACATTTTTACAATTCAAATTTATTGACTGAACGCAGAAGAGATAGTTTTTGCGTACAATATAATCTAAGTGTTTTCTTTATACTTCATAATTTAGACCATGTATAAATAATTATAATCGCTGTATCTCATATTCATTACGCAAAGTCGATGTATATGGGTAGGTAATCAACAATAAGTTTGGTAGTTTAACATTATACATAAAGTTAAAATAATAGTGTTATTTATATTGATGCTTAGTTTACGAGACTTCGAATGTCTTAATTAGCTTAAAATAAGGTTTAGATATTGTATCAGGCGGAATATTGGCGCTTGGCTATCGTGCAATTTCTGTTAGTTGCTCATAATGTCAGTGTACATCGTGCAACTATGTTAAGGTATATTTCAATTTGTCTTGCGAAACACAAGTGAAAGAATAATGAATAGTCAAGCGCCGATTAAATGATCGCTTAATACGATTAAATACATATTATCTGATACGGATAATACGACGTAATGATTAAACTTAGTTGTTACTATAAATGTTTAGCTGAACATGTGTGAATGTGTAAAGAGCGTGAATGTGGTACTTTTGTATCAGTTATTTTCATTTATTTACAATAGAATGACGAAGAAGTGTAAAAACACGCCCAGTGAAGGCCGTATTGTCTACCAAACCTGGTATTGTCATTAGAAATAGTTCGTTTTTTTTTGTCAATTAGATATTGAGGCTTCTCAATGTACCTTTTGTATTTTAGTAACAATATGCTGTTTTTGAAGCAAGTGTAATTATTTATTATTTCTATTATAATTATTTTTAATTTACTTAAAATTGTGTGTGTGCCTTGTATTGTAGATGAAAATATCAAGATTAAAAGGGAAAATTATCATATGGTGTTTTGTTTCTTATTACCCCTTCGTATACTTTTTATTACACAGGATACTTTATTGGTTTCACTTGAAAGAACACCTGAATTTTAACATTATAATGCACTTTAATAAAAAATCCTTGACAGTTTACGGTGTAATTTCGTAAACCAATACCACAACGATTGTTTTGGGTTCAATCCCCACGTAAAACAAAATATCTTTGTAAACTGTGGGTCCTTTAATAGTTTCTTTTAAGAAATGGCAACTCCCGCACTAGGACTATATCCTGTGTCGCGGGGAACTTTACAGACATACATGAAAAGGACATAAAGAACACACATACTCAGAACGATCATTAGTAGAAGATCAATCATCAACAGCCTTTACTAGTCCACTGCTGGACATAGGCCTCTCCTTAGAAAGGACGTTTTGGCCTACTACACCACGCTGGCCAGACGGTATACCAACGGTATAGGGTTTGTGTCAAGTTTTCCTTCTCTCTGCAGTGCTGTTGTCCTACGTATTTTGCTCCCTTAGTCGCTTCTTACGACACCCACGGGATGAATAGGGGTGGTGACACTCTGTATTCTTAATCCGTCACCACACGGATGGTTGGATTAGTAGAACACACAAAGTGTATTCACAGGTGGGGATCGAAACCACAATACTCAACACAGTAGGAAGCGGTGAGTCAAACCACTGAGCCATCCATGTAGGCATTCTTTAATAGTGTTTCGATAGGCTCCTGTTACTCAAGAGTTAGTCTTTACAAGTTAGCCTTTAATTTGCAACATTGATTCAAATTAAATTAGTATTTGGTTTCTCACCAAAATACGCTCAGAATAAGATAATTATAAATTACTTAGGTTTAAATATAAGACCGGTGAAAACGAAGTTAATAAAAAAAATCAAATTGAAATTTCCTTATCACGACATTGTGTTTTGTATAGCAATTACATAAACCTGTAAATATAATAGAGTTTCCTAGATATATAAAAATATAAAGAGTAAATAATATCAAGAACCTAAATGAGGTTATTCATAGCCATAAACCAAGAAGTTTGAAATAAGTAACGTTTAAAATCAATCAAAGTCGATAGCCATAATTATGTACTTAACTACATACATACTTAATGTTAGCTACTTTGTATTAGGTGCGAATCAGGAAATATAACATTATACATATAGGAATCTTAAGATATCTATTTAAAGATAAAGCTATAACCAGTTTATTGTGGGTAGTATACGAACTACTGCGAGTTAGTGTAACGATAATAATAATAGCGATTATGGACAATACAGTAACAGAAATCATAGTAATAATATGTCAAATAGACGAAGAGTCTCAAAAAAGGGTATTAATGCAATTGCAATAAAAATAAGACGTATCTACTTGATCTATAATCCGTGAGGTGAGGGATTAAGAATACGAAGTGTCATCACCCACCCCTTGGGTGTCGTAATAGTCGACTAAGGGAGCAAAACTATGCAGAAAAGGCAATCATAAAAAATATTAAAGGTAATATTTCTCAGAGGCTGGCAACGCGCTTGTGACTCCTGAGATGCAGGCGTTCATGGGCGGCGATAGTCGCTTTCAATCAAGTGACCGTCTGCTCGTTTGCCCCCTCTTTCATAAAAAAAGGACAACAGCAATACAAAGAGAAGGATAACTTGACACAAACTCTATAATAACTCGTCTGGCCAGCGTGGTATAGTAGGCCAACACCTTCTTTCTTAGGAGAATTTAATCCCTAAAAATGTTCATTAATATGCTGGTAAATAGAATCCCTTTCATGCAATGGTTTGACATACAATGGTTATGAATAATAGACAAGTAGAGGTTAGTTAGTGAGGGATGGATCTCTTTTTATTTTTTTAAGTATAGTAGATAAGTAAATATATGGTAAGTGTGAAGTAAAGCTTTTCCATACTTTCTACATAGTGTAAAATATCTTATAAAACTCAACATAATTAAGGAAGGGAAAGAAACCAATAAAACTGAGCGACCATAAACAAGAAAGTCGCCAGAACTCTTCGATTTATATTAGAGTTCAGTGGCGCATCACCATTTTAAATCTTATGAAATCGGAAAACTTCATATTTATTGCTAATAGATTTTCGGCCGATGAGCACTGGGTTATTTGGGATGCAATTTTATTTTGTCCATATGAATGATTTTTATATTTGGCCCCGGGGTGTCGGCGGACAAATGCTCTCCCTTTCCGATTTCGGACATCATGCAATCGTCGACCCCTTCGAGTATTTGGGAAAATATTTTTCAAATCAACTTCTCTGCTTGGCTGAAGCAAGAAATGAGGAATTTGAAAATTAAATATTGTAACTTTATGGCCTTTAATTAAAAATAATGTTTATGTGTTTACCAGCATTTTTTAAAAATAAAGATGAATAATTATGTTCCAAATAAAAACATGACAATAATGAGGTTGCAATAAAATTTCTTGCATATTGTCTATTTAAAGTCGGAGCTCCCGTACTCTATAATTTTCAAATCTACATTTATGCTGCTTAGAATATTATCATTTATTGCTTAACTGCTTGAGTTCGTTGAAGCATATTATTTCTTATACTTTATTAAGCAAGCATAAAGTACGAATAAATAATGTGGATTTTTCTTATAATTATATCATTCGTTTACAAGGTATCTATTACATTAACAACCTGACTTTAAATTTAAATCTTGAAGTTTCAAGTACCTTTTTATATAAAACTATTTCAAAATGACTACTATTTTCGCTGTCTACACTAATACAAAGACGTAGCATTTGTGTTTAGTTCGTAATTCATCAATTATTTAAGATTTTTAAAAAGGAAAATAAAAGTATTTTCCTTGATTAATAACATTCTTCACTTTGTATTTAAATTAAGATTTTTTTTTCCATATTTAGAATACTTTTAATTTAGCCCTCTGCCATCAATAGAAGTTACTAGAAACAAATTTTCATATCCATGCTCTTGTTTCGACCCGTTGAACCAAGCAAAGGAAAATGATTGTGATCTTTTAGTCGCACCTATTTGGGAGTTTGGGTACATCTTGTTGTTAAAAGATTTTTTTTAATGCTGCACTAAGAATTTGTACTGTGACAAATTCTAAAACAAGTTACACGACTCAGAAATCACATAAAGGACCGCACAATCGCACGGTGTTTCCGTGTCCCGTATAGCA